GAAGGGAACTGGACGGGTCGGAATGGGATGTTATAAATTCACCTCGGCGGAGACCACAACTCTAGCAGACAGCAAGCCTCAAAAACTACACTTGCGGAGCTCTCGCTTTGTATTCCGTCGACCATTGCTATCAGTCACGTCTCCTTTTCACTCCAGGAGAAAAAGTCCGGGGAGAAAATGAAAACGAGATTGACTACAGACAAACTATGCATCAATTTGACCGTACATAAGACAGAGCTGAGGGAAACACAGCGAAAACTTATCTACAAAATACAATGCCCCTCCCTCCCCATTAGGAAGCTCACAGGGCACGTGTTACCTGTTTTGACAAGTGCACTGCAGCCATTCTGCTCCAGTAACCTCTGCCACAACGCCGCCATTTTGGTAACACCAGCCTCGGTCCGGGGATTGGGCCAAAGTGATGCTGAGTGCCTGGAGTAGAAAATGCTTTTGTCTAGTTTGTCCACAGTATGACTCAGTTTCGTCTTTCTTATAATGTATGCAGTGTTTTATTTTTGCTCGCGCCCTTCAGGATGTTAGAGTGCGTGAACAGACTATTTTATCTTCTGTATCATAAAACAACAAACCGTGCAAAGAGTCAGTCTACCCTACGCGGGAGAAATTTGAAACCGCAAATTTATTTCGATTTTTTCGAAAACGCTCTTCAAACTGGAGGAATTTGAAAACGCTGCCTTTGCAGTTTAGTGTGGACGGAAAACATTTAGAAAACTGAGCTTTTCGAGAACGATGGCGTCACGATAATCACGTGATTTCTCTGCCTGAGTTTCCCTCAAACGCAAATCCAAAATGACCGGTGATTGTTGCGTTTTCAAATTTATCCAGGTTAGTGTGGACGGATACCATTTGTGTGTTTTCAGAGCGAAAATTCCGTTTTCAAATTTCTCCGGGGTAGAGTGCACGAGACCTCAGACATGTGGCTAAATTACATGGGTAGTTTCTGAAAAAAATGCGTGATAAGTTGTCAGGCCTTAATTTTATAAGGAACAATAAATAAATAAATAAAAGGTGTAACTGAAACATTAAAGCACATAAATATGACCCTGGGAACAAATCGGCTGATCTTCAGAAATCTTCGACAGATCATCTAGACAGAAAAAAAGACAAACAAACAAACAAGCCAGCAATGACAGCGACAAACTTTTCACACTCACATAGTAGGTGGACCGCCAAAACAGTGATCTGGAATATGAAGGAGTTTCTCCATTTCATCTTTGTGTACTTGAGCGCTGGCACCATCATGAATGGGGGATGGAAATGATGACAGAACGTAATACATTGTGGTGTTGACCTCAAGACCGGACGGCGTATCTGGATCATGGTGAGGGTCTACAAACAGGCCTGTCTCGGACAGCTGGGCAATAAAACAACGTATCATTTCGTTAGTTGTCTGGGGACACCTCCCGGGAACTGGGGATATCCAAGGGTAATTCCCAGTTTTACCCGAGGTATTACATCACGTGATATTTACCCCTGTTATTTAATGCAGTTAAATGCAATTTAACGGAGTTAACAATAAGGAGCGCAAGTCTTGCCTTCGCAATCAGCGGCGATTAGATCTGCGCATGCGCCGGGATTCCACATGTTCTTGGGTCATAAGGCGTTGTAGTAGTTTTGCGTCGAGTCAGGGTTTTCCAGGAGTGTTAGGGTTTCAAGCGAGGGGACTCTTCTCAGAGGTTCTTTCCCCTCCCCTGTCCCTGCCTCTCCTTCCACTGTTTTATTAGTGTGATGGGTGCCTGCTTTCCCCCTTTCACGTGGAGACTCATGGCTGGGTTGCCAGGATTTGCCAGCCATGGGAGCGGTCTCCAACTAGAAGCTGGCTGCTCATAGTGGTATCTCCTGGATGCCTCAAGCACCCATTCACCACTTTGCGACGCAGTTGTTAATTTTAATTCAAGGGATTACACATCTCCAGATGTTGTCGGCAGTGCTATGCAGTACATGTCAGTGCTATACCTCTTTCCACGCTGTAGTGTGAGATTCCCTCAATGATTCAGGTTTGTCTAATGAGACAAGAGCTCTGAGTTCCTAAGTGATGAGAAAAAGTACAGTAAATAGTAATTAACTGATAAAGATTTCACAAAAGCACCGAAATTTACAACGTAGTAAAAATGTAATCCAATTGAAAGTTCGTACCGGAATAGTCACTTTTTGTTTCAAGCGAAAAACATGTCACTCTACCAACAAATAGAATATGTGATTGTCACTACTTAAAATTAATTCTGGAAATTTAACCTTAGGCTTTCCTCTGAAGAAAAATTGTGATAATAAAACTTCCTAAGCGCATGTTCGAAAAGTACAACAAGATCTTTGTGAAAACATGTTTAGGAAGTAAGCATGAGTCAGTCCTACAAAACGCATAGGACACAAATGGTTTTTCAACTTTGAGTTCACTAGACCAGGTTAACAACAACAAAACAAAACGAAATTGACTACTCTTTACTCGATACCTTTTGTGCTTCCTCCTGCAGTTTTTCAATGTTTACAGGAGCAGGAGCAGGTTTGGTCACATGACCAAACAAACTTGAAGTGCGCACAACGGTCAAGTGACGCAAGATTCCAGTACTGAAATAGACGACAAACAACAAATTCATACTCAAACTAAACTGGAAAAATAAGATGGGAAAATGGTGCATGTTTTGGCACAGCCATTTTTTGACTGCTCCCTTTTGTTTCTCGCTCAACTCGATCTTTGTGTAGCTGTAACCTTTGGATACATTTCGGTCCTACGAATTTTTCCCGCTCTAGCTAAATGGTAAATGAGGCTGCTTGTAGTGTAGTTTAAATATAAAACCTACTGTAGGCTAAACGGAAACATATGTAAAAGGTCAAAAATGTTAAATGGAATACAGCCATACGTAAAAAATGCAATGCTAAATGGACTAAAACGTTTATGAACAAATTCGATCAAACAGGCACGTTAATTATGTTGCTAGCTAGAATATTCTTAGAGGCACTACAATACTAAAAAAAATTCTCTCGCATACGAAAATGTCAAGCACATTAACAAAATTTAAGTACATCAAATGGACAAAATTTGTCAACGAGACATGCCGCAACTACAATGTAGAATAAGGCAACAGTTTCTTTTGATCATCATGCAAAGAGCTATTCTACAATGAAAGGGTCACATATATTAAGCAATTTTTACGTTGTATGGAAACTGTTCTTTTGTTTATTACAAAACGTAAATAGGCTTAGGTGTTAAAATGCAGGTGGGGGGAGGGGGGGGGGAGATCCGAAGTGAAGATAACCCCTTCCCTATATGAAGCGGGAGAGGAGTGTGTCCTCTCTTCATCGCATCCAATAAAGTGAGGCAGGATGTAAAGGAAAAGACCCAGTTTCCTCCATCCCTTAATCAGGCAGTGAGATTTTCCGTAGTATAAAATCCTCCCACACCTTTGTCCTTGCACAGTCATCTCACTTGGAACTCTTGAAGTCGCTACTGTTACGTTGATGTCACGCTCTGATTTATCAACATGGGCAACCTGCCCGTGGGAGAGGGTGTAGTGTGCTTTAGACGGGTCCATGGTTCTTTCAAAGCTGAAAGACAAAATACCTTGGATAAGGAGTGACGCAAAACTGTATCTGTAACTGTAACTAACTTAGAAAGTTTCTAAGTCCGGCACCTTCATAGTTTCCTTCATTTGTTTTGCTGATTTTTCTTATAAAGTTCAATAAACATGGACCACGTCAACGTGAACGCAACTGCGAATGCAAAGAGAAATGCAGCCAAACGCTAACGAAACGCAAACGAAACAAGAGCGCAAACGGGAACGAAACACGAGCACGAACGTTGGCACAAACACGAACATAAAGGCAAGAGCACACGTGAACGCAAAGGTGGATACAAACGCGAACGAAAAGTCGTCAACGCAAACGCCGACGCAAACAAGAATGCAAAAGCGAACGCAAACTTGGGCGTGACCACAAAAGCCCCTCAGGGGAGTGTTCAATGAAGTCTCATCTCTCATCTTTTTCTTGGCTAGTTTAATGCGAATTGACCACTACGGTGAAAGGAAGCAAGCATGAACCTAAACACAAAGAAAGAGTTGACACCCATGTCATCTCGCTCTGATTACATTAAAAGTAGGTGCTTGAAAACTATTTAAATTCAAGAGACAATCAGCAAGGCAATTACCTTAAACTTTTAGTTGTTGAACCTTTCCAAGAGTTTGCTCCTTCATGAGCCAGTAAAACTTTGATTCCAGCATGCTGAAAATCAAGGGTCGTCATAACCAGTAAGATTAGTAAAACCAAACTGTTTAGTGTGTTGTATTATATTTCAAAAAAATGCATCTATACTATATTGACTTTGATCATGAAATCTGACTTTTAAAAAATTAAATATAAAAAATAATTTCAACAGTCATGAATAATATACCAAACAAAGCACTTTATGATATCTGACTCTAAGGGAAACAGGGAAATCAACGCTAATCTAATTTTGTATATCTTTCTTCTTCTTCAACAAATTTCGCTACAGCTGCCTAATTCAAAAATGTCTTGAATTAAACTGCTGTTAGGGAGGTACTGTTACTAAGTTTTGTTCACCCTGGGAGTTACATGCAAACAGTTTTGAGGGGTGTGGCATGATTCGTTCTTGTCCAAAAGAAAATGGCCTTAAACTTAGTAGTACCTGTACTAACAATTTTTTTTCTGAAGAAATGACAATCAATTACATTTGTATTGGTCACACAATTTTTAAAAACAAAATATTGCTCTGTATACAAACCCCATGGTTGACGACCACAACTTCTTGGACTAAGATAGAGGACTTAGTCCGATGGGCATACACCACATTCTCGATGATGATACAGCCGTGGCTCTGTAAACAAGAATTCAGTTAAAGAAGAATGATGAGAATAAAGAGCTTTTAATTAGGAAGTGCAACTCAGAAGAAGAATGGCATCTGGAACCTTCCTGGCAACTGGGTCAGAAAATTTAACAGACATGTTCAATTTACATTTCCATCTAACTGGACAATCATTCTTACTAGTTTAATTGTACAGAGTCACTTAAAAGTAACCTCTCCTTGAATTTGAACTATGTCAAAAACTCTAGTATACAGTTTGGTGTTCTAAAGAAAGAATCCTCTTCATATGGTGCAAAAGAATTCACCTTTTTACAGTGTNTTCATACAGTCATGTACATACAACTGTATATAGGACACAAAAATATCCTCATGTCTTCCACAGAGAAATCTGAGCTGTACATTATTTTATAAATCTGCATGTATAATTATCTCTTGACCTAAAGTTCCAAGTGCATAGCAGACAAGCAAATTCAATTTACATTTGTTCTACTACTTGATACAATTAGACTTACCTGGTGATTCAGGTAGTTGGCCACGTCTATGACGAGGCATGAATCTTGATATGGTCCATATGAAAAGAACAGTAAACACGGCAATGCCAATTAAAGTGTTCCTACGTGATCTGTACAATAAACAGAGACATCTCTATTTAGTTATGATTTCTATAGCCATTGTTTTATCGCAACATAGTATAATGTACCCTATCTGTAGATAAAAATAGGGACCTTTACAGCTTAACGAGAGTTTGTTTAATTGGGAAACCCACTCGAAGTCAATCAAACTTACTTCGTTCTCTAAATGTCTGCAGACAAATGATACGATTTGCTGAAATGTTTCCAAAGAAAGCCTTGCAATGTTTCCTTTATTACAAAGTCTATGGGACTGCAGACCGCAGTAGCAGTAGTTTACAATACTTACCTAATTTCAAAGTCATCCACTATGGGACTGCGGACCGCGGTAGCAGTAGTTTACAATACCTACCTAATTACAAAGCCAAACACCACAGGACTGCAGACTGCGGTAGCTGTAGTTTACAATACTTACCTAATTTCAAAGTCAACCACTATGACACTGCGGACCACGGTAGCACTTCAGTTTAACACCGAGTCAATACATATTGACTCACTAGCCGAGTATGGACCAAGGACTACGGGAGCAGTAGATTTAAGGAGGGTGTGTGTGGCAGGGTATTCTGAAGTTGTTGCAATTCCTCACCAAAAACATTTTATTTCCCATGTCAACAAGATTTAGCACTGCTACTAATTAGGGGCACCTAACTGAGTTAACATCATAAAGACTAATTGCAATATAATGATTAGAATATAAAGGAACTTTCATACTGAAATTTCTACATAAGCTTACATGTAAACCTATTATACGTTGCAGTTTCCGCATACAACATGTGCAAATTGTACTTCTCTAATAATAACATCAAAGATTAAAACAAAAACAAAAACAAAAAAAAAAGATTAAAATCATAGCTTTTCAGGACCAAACTCATAAACTTTACATTCTTTGTTGACGATTATTCCAACATGTAATTAACAAACAACAACTACTTGTTATGTGAAATTACCACATACATGACTTTTTGAATGCAATTTTTGCAGTACGCTTATATACCTCATTTCTAAAATAACCCTTTAAATCACTCGTGATTGAAAAAGCCTACCTCACAAGGGTGAGAAAAGCCAGTCTTCCTTTCATCCATGTTACACAATTTCCAATATTTGATACTACCCACATATGAAAACAGTGAATTCATGAATTTTCAAGAATTAAAACAGTTCGGCCTTTTTGGCGCCATCTTGGCAGCTGCAGTTACCTGCTTGACAGCGGATTATGCCAAAGAGGTAATGCGCGAACGTATGTTCTAAGTATTAGACGCTGACCAAAAAAGATACCAGTGATGGTTCCCAGATCTCCTCATTCTGTGATTAAGAACGCCTTGCTTGTTGTATGGAGGTTTTGTTTTGATACTCGCTAACTCCTTGTCTTACTGACTAAATGGTGTAAATGAGTACTTTTAGGACTGCCTACCTTGGTAAAAGGTATTTAGTTTTCTGCACTCAAGGAACACGATGGCTCCGCTCATTTACCGTTGAGTGTTCCCGGGCACGTTCGCCATGGGATCGTTTTGTTCTCCCTTCGCGTTTTGGCGGGGTCACTTTATCAAGGTGTTTTTCTAAACACAGCAAAGACACTTCAGCTTCACACGATGAGGATGAAGATCACCCAGAGAGCACGGAAATTTTGCAGACGCTTCGAGCTGACCACCACTACCACCACGACAAATACGCGGGGAAACTACACGAAGTTTTCGTCTTGGAACCCAATTTTAAATGGGGAAAGAATCGCTTTCGGAATGTTACAAACGAGCACAGGTTGGATGAGGCGTGTGCCCTAGTCGAGTCGATAGAAAACTGGAAGGTTGTGGGTAAAAGTATAGAATCCGTCAGAAAAATGGATGGAAAGACGTTTTTCGGAAAAGGAAAGATCGAGGAGTTGACTGAGAAATTCCAAGAAATGAGAGAGTCGTCTACGCCACTTGAGAGTGTTTTTATCGATGTAGCTAGGCTTAACACAAGGCAACACAAGGAACTGGAAGACCTTTGGAATGTCAAGATATTTGACAGGTTTGGTATAGTGCTACAAATATTCAAGGAAAGGGCCAAAACTGCAGAGGCCAAGATTCAAGTGGAATTAGCAGAGCTGCCCTACATCAGGTAAACCCCTAATACTAACTACTACAAATTAACCGAGTGGGTCCATACAATGATATGGGTTATTGACCAAGCATGAGGTCAAGATGGCTGGATATTGGCCAAATTCTTTTTTGTGTGTGTTTGTAGGTTGACACTGAGTCAATGTCCATAAACTGGCAAAAAAAGAATGAGGCCAATATCTACCTGTAGCGATCTTGACCAAACAAGCTTGGTCCTTAATAGGCGAATCTTTGCTGACGTCATTGNTCTCTTTGTAGCTCCGTCAGAAACTGTATCGCTTATGGTAATGAGGCAAATATTGTACATGTAAACAAAGATTCTCCTATAGATCAATCCTTAAAGGACTTATTGTATGGCTTTTGGGATGAAATGGGTCAATGTTAGTATTTCTCCAATAGAAGGGCAAACTAGACAGAAAATATTTTGGAAATAATTTTTAGCATACATGTATTTTTCCAATATCTCACAGGTCAAGACTAGCACACGCAGGTGAAAATACTGGTGGAAGTTATGACCAGCAGAGAGGTGGAACACACACCAGAGGAGGATCTGGAGAAACACTCCTTGAGAAACAAAAGAGGATCATAGCTGAACGAGAACGAAAGCTAAAAAAGAAGCTAGATGTTATCAAAAAGCAACGTGAACAAGTCAGACATCATCGACATAAAAGGCATGTGCCAACTGTTGCAGTGGTAGGGTACACCAATGCAGGTACAGTGATTTACATACATGTAATAATCAAAATACAGTTAAGAAATAGACAGTCATGCACATTGTTTATGGAATTTATGTGTACTTAACCTGTGATGTGAGTAATTGGAAGACAGGCAATTACCGTAGAACGTCACAAATTACTTGGCTCTTTTTACAGAAGGGAGCTACGATGTACAATCCATCCATCCTCATTTTTCCTCACTTACCCTAATTAGCCTGGGTGTTTTTTGTTTTTTTTTTCTGAGGGGTGCTCTTTGTCCCCTCAGCTATGTATTTGTAAAAGTATTCTCTCATTCCAATATGGCATGTAAAGTATGTACATGTATACTGTAGTTAGACCCGCTTACTCTGTCTTACGATAAGCTACATGTAATTCATCTAATACATACTGCCTGTCTAAATGCTAGGCCTCACTTGCAAAGATGTCGAGACGGTAAGTGGTGAATGCTCGTCCAGTTTGCAGGCTACATGCATTATCTTGCAACTGTTGTCACTGTCAGAAAATTGTGTTTTTGTTTCTTGATCCATGTATAAGGTAAGACAACCCTCATAAAAGCATTGACAGATGAAGCCAAGATGCAGCCCGAAGACAGACTTTTTGCGACACTTGATGTGACGGCTCACCCAGGCAAACTCCCATCAGGGATGGTAGTACTGTTTCTTGACACTGTGGGATTTGTTTCTGATCTTCCTCCGGAACTTGTTGAGTCATTTTCTGCAACATTAGAAGATATTACAGATTCGGTAGGTTTTCTGATCAGATCAATTGCTCAGATTTTTGATCTAACAACTACTGAGTACATGTAGGTAGCTTCTAAAGTGATCCAGCTAAAATTAAATTAGATTACACAAAGCATTTAATAATGTTGTAATAAAAAGTATTTCTTCATGCCCTAATTAATTGCTGGACAATTGATAAGTTATGTACAGCGTGCATGTAACAGTCACGCATAAAGTTCTTGAGGGCCATGCAAAATTCAAGTGAAAGTGAATTTGACTTACCTACATGTAGTGATACTTGTACCTGTAGGCAAGGAATTCCAAATGAGAGAACCAGTAGTTAGTACTGAAATAAGAGTTCTTATTAATTAATTAATTACTATTTACCCACAGATTATATAAATAGCACAATATACATTAATATATTATTATTACATTATTATTATTA